GATGATGATGATGATGATGATGATGATGATGATGATGATGATGATGATGATGATGAAGATGAAGATGAAGATGAAGATGAAGAGGAAGAGGAAGAGGAAGAAGAAGAAGCGCGGCCAGGACGACGCCGGCGGGGCGCGCGAAGGCGGGCAAAGCCGGCGTCGAAAGGGGCTCCGAGGGCACGGTGTTCGGGCTGACTTCGTGTTGGGTGGACCCCATGTTGAAGGCAACACCCAGCTCCTAATCCAACTATATCATTCTATATCTTGTATCATTCCTTAATATATATCACTGTAAGCTAAAAATCTGAACCAGGCGCCATCAGCTCTCGCGCGTGATCTGGATATAGCATCTGTTGTGATGTCTGCCGCGCATTCTCCAGGAGCGAGACGAGGCTTTTTGCATCATTTTTCAAAAGACGATACTCGTGGGACGGCGGCGTCCGAATGCACCGTGCGTTCGAAGATGGCTCGACGGCATAGTGCTGTAAGAGCTATGACCGAGCGAAGTGAGGAAGAAGAGGAGCTCGCGCGGAGGATGCATCAAGTGTTTTGTTTGATGGACACTGACGATGGCGGGACGATCGCAATGACGGAGATCGAAAGTCTGATGCAATTGGTGGGGGTGGACGTGTCAATCGAGGAGCTTGAAGACTTAATAAGCGAGGTCGACACGGATGGAAGCGGGGAGCTCGAAAAAGATGAATTTGTGGAGATGATGAGCCACAAACCAAAGCCGCCAAACTCAATGCAAGAAGTGCTTCGTTGCTTCCGCCTCCTTGCGGGAAAGAACGCTCTCGGTTATGGGAAAATCGACCACCAGGTTCTCATTTCACAAATGACCAAAATCGGGAGAGATCCGATGACCGTCGATGAGGCAAGGAAGCTCACGAGACAGCTCGAACCTCTCAAGGATGGCACTATCAACTATGAACGCTACGTGCTTATGACGCTTAGGCATAACCATGACGCTAATCCTGTGCCAAACATCATGATTGGGTCCGAATTCTTGAAAGAGCAGAACGATGTGACGTTACAGCCAGATACGGACACCATGATGGTGGCCCACGC